AAAAAAAAACCATGAAAAATTTATAACAGGTCCAATGCTGATCATTCCTATCAAGCTACCCTATCCCTGGGGCTCTATATTCATTATTTCATTGAAATTTCATCAGTGAAACAGACACGACTTTTATCCTTATTTTATATAAAGAAGTGAAGTGGCTTGCCAAGAGACATAAAAGAGCAAGGTAGCACTAGGTAGAGACTAAGCCCTAACTTATTACATCCCCACCTCACCACTAAATCCAGCAAAAGCTTTTCACCGTTCTGTTCCTAATTTTTAGATTTGGTTTTCTCCATGACAAAGTACTTCTTTTACTTACTTATTTTTGGTGCTGTAGATTCTGGCTTTTTTTAAAAATGTTATTATAAAGAGGGGTTATAGTTATGTAAGTCAGAATAAGAGTACATTTCAACCAGGCATTGGTGGTTAAGCTTGTAATCCTAGCTACTCAAGAGGCTGAGATCTGAGGACCATGGTTCAAAGCCAGTCCAGGTAGGAAAGTCTGTGAGATTCTAATTTCCAATCAACTACCTAAAAACCAGAAGTGGTACTATGGCTCAAAGTGGTAGAGTGCAAGCCTTGAGCAAAGGAGCTTAGGGACAGCGCCCACACTCGAAGTTCAAACCCCACAACTGACAAAAAATAAAACCCAAAATACATGTGTTTCTGGACAATGTCACCTCTTCCCTCACTCTCTCCCAGTTGCAGATCTTGTTTTATGATACAGACAGCTGAATTCTACATGTAAGGCAAGTACTACATTGAGTTATACCCTAACTCCAAGAATGCTTCTTTAAAGGAAAAAAAGAAAATAAATTTTAATTGGAAATAATTTTAGTTTCACAAGAAGTTGCAAAAATAACAGAGTTCAAGTGCAACCTTCCTCCTACTTTCCCTACTGATAAAGATCTTACATAACAATGACCAAAACCAGGAAAGTGACTTAGGTATATTACATATCCAGAGTTCATCAACTACTTTTGCTTTGCTTTCTTTGGGGGAAGGGAGGGAGTGTGTACTTCTATGACATTTGAACGATGGTGAGGTTAGTAGATGGAGAACTCTATCATCAAAGAGAGGTTCCCGCACACTTGCTCCCACAGGCACATCCTGTCTCCTATACCCAACCCCTGAGAAACCCTGATCTGTTCGCCACTGTAATTCTGACACTTGGAGAAAGTGACTTCAACTAGCTTTGGCTTTGTTCACTCAGAATAAATGACCTTTACAGTACTTTTTGCTTCTGTTTCTTAAATGCAACTCTTACATCACAGTGTCTAGGGTGCAGTGGAAAGGGTTCTTGTATCAAAAGAGAAAAGGCATATCTGGCTCCACGGCTCAATATCTGTAATCCTAGAAACTCAGGAGGCTGAGATCTAAGGATCTTGGTTTGAAGCCAACATAAGCAGGAAAGTTCATGTGACTGTTATCTGCAATTAACCACAGAGAAGCTGGAAGTGGAGCAGCAGCTCAAGTAGTAGAGTATTAGTTTTGAGTGAAAAAATGAAAAGGCAGGGCCTAGGCCCTGAGTTAGGGTGGAGGGAGAGGAAGAGGGAAATAGGAAGAGGGAAATGGGAAGGGGGGAACAGGAAAGAAGGAAAGAGAAAGGGGGAAAGAGGGAGACAGAGCATGAGAGAGGGAGAGAGAGAATGAAAGAGGGAGCAGGAGGAGGAGAGGGGAAGTGAAAGAAGGGGAAAGGGAGAAGGGGAAGAAGAAGAGAGAGAGAGGGGGAGAAAGAGAACAAGAACATGACTTTTTAAAATTCATAAATATATACTTACTCAAAGTGGCCCAAACCAACAGGGCTATTTAAAGTGCCTTCCTTCTTGGCATTTCTGCTTGGCATTCTCTCAGAAGAGATAAGGAAAGTTTACCTGGAGGTTAATTTTAAGATAGAATCTGGCTCATGCAGCAGTCACTGCTTTATATCTTCAGCAGGTGAGGGGCTGCTGCTTTAGCATAGCCCACCTTGCAAAAAGGTAGCTAAAGACAGAATGGCCTCACTACCTTATACCCCAAATATGAGCCTGTTGGGCAGGGATCAGGTAACAACCTAAAGCTTCCACAAGATGAAGAAGAGACAACTAAATTGTTATGTGATTCTTTTTGTGTTAGTAAAATTCAGATGCCTAGAAACAGTCAACAAGTAGCTGACTTGACAGAAGTGCACACATATCTGGCGCTAGCCCTGTGGGCAGGTCTGTAGCCTGGGATCTATGCCCTGCTCTTTCAGGATCTCATTCAGCCCTTTGGGTCTGAATGTTTTATTACTTTCACTGAACTGGCTACATATATATGAGAAAAGAGACATGCATTCAAATACATAAGTAACTCTACAAATACAAGTCACTTCATCTTCACTATGTCCTTGTGCCCCAGTGAAAGGACCTAAAACCCAAGGATTGTTAGTAGTTCATGCCTTTGTTAGTTCATTCACTCATTCATTCATTCATTCACAAAACTTGGTGATGGGACTCAGCTAATTAAAAATTCACACTTAATAATCTCATGGGTTAATCACCCCTCTTAGAAGTCTGACATGTAAATGGCTATGGTTTGATTGACCATGGGTTGGGGAAGAGGTGCTGTGAGTATACAAAGAGTGGGTGACTAGGAATGTTTTTTACAAAAAAGCTATGAGCCCAATGTCTCAAGGTGAACAGACAACTTTGCCAGATAAAACACAAGGAAAGCAGCTTGGACAGAAGAGATACCATGTGGAAATGCCTGGCTAAGAAAAGATAGGGCATTTAGAGAGCTGCTAGAGCAGGCACCTCTGCAGGTGAGACAGAGGGAGAAAAAAAGATAGGTAGCAGCTAAAGGATGTGGAGCATCAGGGTTAGAATGGTAAATTTTAACCTGTGTAAAGACCAGCTCTGTTCTTTAGCTGTCTCTCTGTTGATGAAGTGGATATTGACTCACTGTGGGTGGCAGGTTGCTGGGAATATAAGGAGAAGAAACTCAGGACCACAGTTAGGATGGGATAGCTACAGTCTTGGCACTGAGCCAAAAAAAAGTCTGAACTAAGGACACATAGTAAAGAAGCAGAGGGAGAGATGAGCTCATCTCTTGGTAGATGACTGTTGGGTGGGGGAAGAGAAAAGGAGAGATTCCAGGCTTCTGGCTTGAGAACATTATTACCTCCACAGGCCTTCCCTGCAGGGGACAGAGGTGCTTTTTTCCCACTGCTAGGAGGAGCCAAAGCAATAGGACAGCTACATCTTGAGGTTACTTTGTGTTGTAATAATAGAAATCAAAATTAAATTGATTGAAGGGGGGAGGCTGGGAAGGGATGGGAAGGGTAAACAAAGGAGGAGGCTGCAATGCTTGGTAAGAAATGTACGCATTATCCTGCCCATGCAATTGTAACCCCTCTGTACAGTTTGTTCACAAATAAAATAAAATAAAATTTAAAAAAAAAAGAAAAGTACTCATTAACTGACTTATGAAATGGTAATCCCCTGTGTACAATATCTTAATAACAATAAAATTATATTTTAAAATATTAAAAAAAAAGAAATGTAAATTTGGCATGCTATTTTGTTATTTTGAATGCTATTAAAAATAAGGGCTAGGAAGAGGAAACAAAGGAGGAGGCTACAATGCTTGATAAGAAATGTACTCATTATCTTGCCCATGTAATTGTAACTCCTCTGTACAGTATTTTCACAATAAAAAATAAATTAAAATAAAATAAGGGCTAGGAATATGGTAAAACATGGTTAGCATATACAGAGCCTGAGGGCTGAGCACCCAGAACCAAAATTAAATTTTAAAAAATTTTAAAGCACATTTTTCTAAAGAAGAAACAAAAGCACTGTTACTAAGAAAACCAGAGTCAGCAGCCCATGTTTCAAATCTTAGAGAAGCGGGACAAATGCTTGACCAATGCAGACATGGGCAGTCATTTAGAAAGCAGGTATTGAATGTCAACTCAGCAGTTTCAATAAAAGTTCTTCATTTACAGACACACTGGTCTCCACTCTGGAAGTTCCAGGAAAGCTGAGTCTTACTTGATATCTATGAAATGTTAGTGAGAATTCCCACTGCCATTTCCTTTCTGATCCATGGTGGTCCCTGGACCAGGGGAGTATCCACACTTTTGGACGCTAGCATTTCTTGAAGATGTTGCAGTCAGCACTCTCCTATGGGTCATTTCTATACCTCCCATAGACCAGCACTGAGCTCAACCCTAAAGATCTGACCAAAGAATCTGCAGTTTCTTCCCTGGGGTCTCGTGAAGAGAATGGGCAGATACAGTAATCCTCCCTTAACCACAGGCAATACATTCCCATGTCTTTCCTGGTGCCTGAAACCACAGATAGTACCAAATCCTGCCACAGTGGTTTTTTCCTGTATACATATACCAATGATAAAACTGAATTTATAAACTAGGCATAATAAGAGATTAGCAGTAATGATAACTAATGATAAAAACTGAGTAAGTCTAATAATATATAGTTGTGAATGTTCTCTTATTGCTAGAATTTTCTTCCATTTAAAATTTTTGGAGCCAGATAACAGAAAACACAGAAAGCAAAACTTCAGATAAAGGGAACTATTGCTTTTTTAGGGAGTGTGGGGGGAAGGACCAGTCATGGGACTTGAACTTGGGGCCTGTGGCACTTTGAGCCACAGCTCCACTTCCAGTTCTCAGATAGTTAATTGGAGATAAGATTCTCACAGACTTTCTTGCCTGGGCTGGACTTGAACCATGACTCTCAGATCTTAGCCTCCTAAGTAGCTAGGCTTATAGGTGTGAGCCACCAGTGCCCAGCTAACTACTGCATTCTTACAGAGAAGGGTATTTGTTATCAGACTGGAAAAAAGGTCAGACCTTTAATCCTTCATGTACATGACACAAGGAACATATTATCCCTTGTCTACTGGGGAAACTGTGGAAACTGGGAACACTGAAATATGTCATTTGGTTTTCTTGGAACAGGATTAGAAAGGATCAAAATGTTAAATATGGCAGATTTTCCTTTTCAGGAGGAAAAAGTTTTCCGATTCCCCCATAAACATTCCTTCTAAATACAGATAGCCTACCATAAGAAACAATAAGTGCATGAGGTAATTCACATATTAGTAGCTCAATTTAGTTATTCCACAATGTGTACATATATCAAATCATTAGTATACATTATAGATACATAACATACATTTCAATTAGAATTTGTGTGTGTGTGCCAATACTGGGGCTTGAACTCAGGGCCTCATGCTCAAGGCTGGTACTCTATGTCAGCTACAGCTCCACTTCCAGCTTTTTGCTGGTTAATTGGAGATAAGTCTCTTGGATTTGTCTGCATAGGCTGCCTTCATGCTTGGATCCTCAGATCTCAGCCTCATGAAAGTAGCAAGGATTACAGACATGAGCTACCAGAGCCTGGCTAAATTGGAATATTAAAAAAAAGAATAAAAAAAAGCAGATGAGTATAAAAATAGGTGTGTCCAAATATCACTTAGAACAACAATTCATTGCAGGTCAACTGTTCATCAACAGGAGAGCAGTAAGGCCCCTCCACTCAGTAAGGCACTGTGTGACGTCACAGTGAGGCAGGCCTGTGGCAGGTGGTAAGAAGATCCTGGAGTATACACACATGCCAGTAAGCTTGGAGGACAAGAAGGGCCAGAGTAGTGGAGAAGGTTAGTTTCCTCTGTACAGGGAGCAAAAGTATGGAGAACAAAAAGACTCTCCTGTTTTGTTTTGGCCTGTCATTGTGGCTTGAAAGGTTTTTACAATGGATGTGGGTTTATTCACAGACTATTATGTAATAAAAAGGATGAAATTAACTGGCCTGTGTGTTATCATTCTAATTGAAGGAAAATCACATATGTACACATATAAATAGTTATAGGAAAACTTAGAGGAAATGGAACACCAGTGTTCTCCGTATAACTACAAACTATACAAGATGTCAAATACTTTTCTCAATATTTCACATTTTAAAACTCAAAAGCAAAAAAGTGACATTGATCAAAATATATTGCATTTATAAACTGCTTTATAAGCAACTCCTTTGTACAATTAAAGATAATTTTTCTTTTTTTGGGGGGGGTCCAGTCGTGGGGCCGGAACTCTGGGCCTAGGCACTGTCCCTCAGCCCTTTTAGCTCAAGGCTAGCGCTACCACTTGAGCCACAGCACCACTTCCGGCTTTTTTCTTTTTGCTTATGTGGTGCTGGGGAATCGAACCCAGGGCCTCATGCATGCAAGGCAAGC